GTGCCATATAAACATCTTCTAAAAGCCAGCCTTGAAGAAAGGCATTGTTGATATCCAATTGCTGAAGTGACCAACTATTACTGATTGCAATGCTAAGAACAAGTCTTACAGTAGTGGGTTTAACAATTGGACTGAATGTTTCATGATAATCAATTCCTAGTTGTTGGTGAAATCCTTTCGCCACTAATCGAGCTTTAAACCTGTCCTGGAGCTAGTAGAGTCTCTTTTAATGCGAAAAATCCATTTACAACCAACAATATTAGAAACATCACCAAGGGGAACCAACTCCCATGCCCATTACGAACAAGAGCATCATACTCTTCGGACATAGCTTGACGCCAGTTATGATTTTTAAGGGCCTGGGTCACAGATGTTGGTTTAAAGTTTGATGAAGAGTGGAAGTGAGTGTGGAGGTTAAGCTTTTGTATCGGCTTGCGAATGTTATTTTTAGCTTGAGTGGTCATGGAATGTTGATTAGGTTGACAAGAAATGTGTTGTGTTTCTGTTGGTGGTGGTGAATTGTGGGTAGTATCAGGTGATGGTGCGGACTGTGGTGCTGTCTGATCAGGAATGGGAGATAATGGTGGCTGGTCAGATGCTGCTGGTTGTGAAGGGACTTCAAATGGAGGCTGCCTTCGAGTGCACACTTCGGTTGGAGATGTAGAAGCCAACGATGAGGAGTTATGTAGTGATATAGTGAGAGGATAAGGGATCCAAGTGTCTATAGTGGTGAAAGTAGGACGAGGTAGATGATTGTGCAAAGAGGTATAAGGAAAGATTGACTCTACAAAACGAACATGACGAGAAATGAATATTTTTGACGTGGACAGCTCAAGACACAAGTAAGCACTTTGAGATAATGAATACCTAAGAGAAACACATGGTTTGGAATGTGGATCAAGTTTGTGTGCCGAATATGGTCGCTGCCAAGGATAGCACAAACACCCAAAAATCTTCAATTTGGAGTAGTTAGATGGGCTCTTGAAAATTAATTCATAAGGAGAGGAAAGTTGAAGAGTAGAGGTTGGCATCCTATTAATTAAATAGACAGCAGCTGAAAATGCATGTGACCAGAATTTTAATGGAAGGGATGCTTGAGTAAGCAATGTGAGGCCAGTTTCGACAATGTGACGGTGTCGTCTTTCTGAGTATCCATTATGTTCAGGCGTGTGAGGTGGAGTTGTTAGATGAGAAATGCCATTGAGAGCAAGATAATCTTTAAGGCCCATATATTCTCCCCCATTGTCTGTATAGAGAGATTTAATTTTGTGTTTGAAATAATTTTCTACAATGGCTTTAAAACGAATAAAAATGTCGTGAACTGCATATTTTGTTTTTAGAGTGTAAAACTATATGTATTTGGTGAAGTGATCCACAAAAATGACATAATATTTGAAGTCATCATGAGATAGAATAGGAGATGTCCATACATCAGAAAATATTATTTCAAATGGTTGCTTGGAAACAAGAGAAGAAGTTGAAAAAGACAACTTATGACTTTTATTACATAGACATGCATTACATGACCAGTCTGTAGACATAGGAGACGATAGACCTAAATTAAAGCTGGAGATAACGTGTTTTAAAACAGGAAGAGCTGGATGACCTCAACGTTGATGCCAACATGAAGATGTGGTCTTCACAGTTGAGAAGGCAAGGATTGGGGAAGAAACGGGTTTGGTGGTCGGCCATTCATACACTCCATCCTTAGTGCTGCCCTTGAAGATAATTGCCCCCGTGCGAAGATCCTTCACATGAAAAGAAGAGGGTAAGAATTCAACAGCTGCATTATTGGTAGTGCAAAATTGGGAAATAGATATTAAGTTTCTTTTTTTTTTTTTATTATATATATTTGGCACACAAAGGACATCATTCAATGTAAATTCAGTAGTGGGGGTTAAAAGAGAGATGGAACCAGTGTGAGTGATGGAAAGACCCGTGCCATCGCCAATCATAACATCATCAGAGCCAGTATAAGGTGTATGAAGTGATAAGTTGCTCAAGTCGGTTGTGACATGATGAGAAGCTCCATTGTCAAGTATCCAAGATGAGTTGTTGCAGGCAACATTAGCAGCATAGTGAGCTCGGGGCTGCCAAGGAGTCATTGAAGCTTTGGTTGGTGGTGCAGATCCTGTGTTAGTGTGCTGGATGGGAACCAACTGAAATGATGGACATTTCTTTGCAGTGTGTCCCTGAATGCCACAAATCTGACAGTAGCCTAGATAGGGACGTGGTGAAGGCCGATTACCACGAGATGGAACACCATTGTTGGGGGTTCGAGCATTGGTATTAGGCGATAGACGCCAACCTGTGTTGCCATTATGGGATGAAGAAAGTGGGGTTGTCACGAGCTTGAACAGCCCTAACAAGTTCTCTGTAGTCATCTCCTAGTCTATCCAAAATCTTCTCTGTAAGATCATCTTCATCCATTGGTGCTCCAAGTATAGCTAATTCATCTGCACGGGCTTTAACTGATTGAAGAAAATCAGTAATGGTCAGAGAGCCTTTAGTGGAATTTTTTATCAGATTGTTAACTTGTGCGATGCGTCCATGAGATGGTTTTGCATATGTGTTGGCAAGAATCATCCATGCCTCTTGAGAAGTTTTGGATCTAGCAACGAATGGAATGATGGTAGGAGATAAAGATCGAATGAGAGCATTGAGAATTAGTTGATCTTGGAGAACCCACATGTTATGAGCTGGATTCGGTGACGTAGTATCATTTGCAGTCAGAGTCTTTGGTGGACAAGGATTGGAGCCATCAATGTATCCAAGGAGATCATATCCAATAAAGAGAGTTTCGAACTGTAGTTTCCATAAAACATAATTGTTGGAGGTGAGTTTAAGAGGAGCTTGTGCAGAGATGTTGATGGTGATGAGATGAAACTAATTGGTGTCAAGTGTTGTGGAGTGAATTGGAGCAATTGGAGGAGGTGTATTTGTTGTCTCGTTTGTAGTGGCCATTGTTACTGGTGAAGAGCAGAAAAAAAAAAGAATTAATGGGAGAGAAGGTGCTGCTCTGATACCATATAGAATGGTAAAAACGGGAGAAGGAAATGCACACCTATTTCATTGACTTCTGAAGTATATATACACTGTAGAATAACAGAATTAGCAACTATATGCCTATAACTAAAGAGGGAGTTATACTGATCATAACCAGATAACCTCAAATTTTAAATTCAGATTACAGATAAATACACAAAATTCAGATTACAGATAACTACAGTTGTTAGGAAAATTGTTGTTTTTGTTCTCTTGACATTGAAACAGATTGATATCCCCATTGTTCTCTTGAATTTGTTGGAGGATTATACCATCACAATCACTGGAAATCCAATTGTTGAATTTAGTCCCTTTGAGCTCCGAGGTCTGTTTTATTTCTAATTTTTTATTTTATCACATTTAACACATGTAAATCAGTGGTGGGTGGGATTTTATTGGGGGAGGAGGAGGTGATTGATGAGTTTAATAGTAGTAGCAAGGGAGGTGACTCCCAGACATTGGAATTGGCAGTGGATGTGAGTTCAACATCATTTTCGTCAACAAACATTCTGATACCGTGGCGTCCTAGGAAGCTTGCGTTTTGTCCTTATTTGCCTTTTGTGAACACTGATTCATAGCCCCAATGGTCAAATTGAAGGGCTACCGGGATTGTACCATTTGATTTTACAATGGTCAAATTTTATTGGGTTACAGTGGGAGGAAAGATGAGTCTGTGATGGAGGATTTTTCTAATTATTTTTTGCTGGGATAATCATTTTGTTGAATTTTTGTCTGCTGGTAGTGTTGATGAAGTCGGCCAGCAATGGTGTCGACGTTGGCGGCTGATTGTTAGGAATGGTAGGGATTGAGGAAGAAGATAACTTTTATTTTTTTTATTTATTTTCTTGATTTTTTCAGATTATTTTTGTTTGTTTATTTATTGGATAAATAGTAAACTTACCATTTTACCCTTTTTAAATTTGGTCAAAATTAACTTCTTTGGTCAACTAACAGTTATTTCCATCCATTTGGACCTTTGCTACATATTTTTGAAAGATTGGGTACTTTATGTGACACAAATTGAAGGTTAGGTAAAGTCTAAAAAAATTTAAAAGGTTAGGGAACACTGCTGCAATTTTCCCTTAAATTTTACATTAACTTTGATATTTTTGTGAGGTGGCATTTTTTGACACATTGATATTCACAACATTTTAAACAATCGATGTCAGAAATTTTGACAATACTTGGAGCGTCAAACTTAGCCCCGTTTAGTAGGAATTAAAAGTATATTTTTAGCAAATTTTAAATGAAGTTGATGAGATGTGGGTTGAAAAGTTGTGGATTCCATGAAATTTATGGTTAAAATTAATTATTGATTTTGATTTAAATTAAAATTTTGATTTTAATTTCCACCAAACAAAAATTTAATATACACCAAGTGTGTACGACTAGTTTAATCCATAATAAATCACAATTAAATATAGAAACAAAATTTAGCCCTCGTTTGTTTCTCATTATTTGTTCATTAAAATGAAAAATATGATCATTATTCATCACATCAAACCATCATATTAGACTTTCTATCTCTTATGTGGAGCTCGTAACGAGTATTTTTTCATTCTCATTTTTACATTAATGTGTACTAAACGGGATCTAAATAAACAAATGTCTTAGATATTATCTCACATAAATCTCTAATAGTGTGATCATTTGTGCCTTTGTTTGATTCCCATTCTTTGGTAAAAATGCATTTTTCAACAGTGTTTTGATATCATTTTCACCACACATTTTTCAATAAAATAATATTACACACAAATCTAAAATTTTTTCTTATTTTTTAACCACACATTTCATATCAATACATTATTTAAAAATTCATTCTATCCCCCAAAATGGGGCTCAAACAAGGGCTGTATAAGTTCAATTACTTTTCGGGACTACATAGGCCAAAAAATAATTTTAAGGATTAATTTGAAATTCAGAACAAACTATAGTCACCGTTGTGAAATTAATTGAAATATATTCATCAAATCCTACTTCGAACCAACAACCAGAGTTGAAGGAGGAGGAGAAGGGTGAAAGAAAGAGGATATGAGTGAAAGGACAGTACCCAGAAGGGAGAGTCCATGGGGTATGCCTGAGGGAGATCACAGGCAACCGAAACCCCACAGATGCAATGACCGCGCTGAAGATGTCATACAAGTGAGGATTATTAAAATTAAACCTTTCCTTAAACCCTTGATTTCTATCTATATGTATACATATTTGCGGATTATAAGGATATTTAGGTGTTATGTTCGTTGTTTACAGATATCTGTCTGGTATTTGTCTGATGCCATCGATTTGATGAATTCTCACTCTCTATGCTATGTTTTAGGAAGTTTAAAATTCCAATTAAAATCTCGAATATATTGAAAGAAATTATTGTTACTGAAAAGTGAAGATTGAGCTTTGCATCTAGATTGATGCAAACTCCTAAATTCCTTTTAAGGTAAGTTAAGGTTTGTTCATTTTTTCATTTCCTGACCTTACTTACTTTTCTACTGCGTAGGCATGCTTTGAAGGAAACCCATTCAAAACAGTTCCTGGGCCTTTCAAGCTATTTTGGCAGTGTATGCGTTCAAAACCCGGGTATGTTCGATATTAAACTCTTCTGCCTCTCAGTTGTGTCTAGTCATTACGTAATTGAATGTTCTCTTTCCTCGAGAATTTTAAGTTATCTCAACCCTTGGTAAATGCATTTCTCACAGATTGTCTGAAATTTTCCAGAAAAGTGTTGAATGATTATTTTTGAAGAAGGGGTTTATCAATAAGATGATTAGTTGTTAGGAATCTCTTTAACTCAATCTCTTCTAAACTAAATAACTGAAAGTTGTGATCTCAGTGTCTTGTAATTAATAACCATGAATCACATTTATCGTGCCTGTGCTTGTGTATTTCATTCTGTATTCTATCATTTTATTTTGGATTCTTAGCTGAATATTGAATTATATAACTGCTATGCAGGGAAGAGCCTACTCAGCCATTCTACTACTTGGAATTGGAGCCCCCTGTAAGAGAAGTAAAACTTGAGTAGTGACTTATGTTAGAATTTCCTAGACTCAGGTCTTAAGGTCATCATTCTGTCTTTTGAATTTCAGTTCTTGTTAGCAATGACTATATTGTGATTCGAACTTCTCATAATTGTGAATTTTTATGTTCCCTGAACAAAAGAGAAAAAAATGATGGTTAAAACTCTATCTTAGAGTAAAACACAAGATTGATGTCTCCTTTATGGATCAGAAGTTGCATAAAAAATTATCAATTTTGTATATTAGAGTTCTTGATGATTATAGCAGGAAGTACTGTCTAGTTCAATGGTTCAGTCATTTTGCTGCTCTAGTACGACTCTTTTGCGTCCTTTTTTTGCTAATTAAGCTGTACTTGCTTTCTGTTCTGCTGATAATTTTATATTATGGGGCAAGATGATTGCTTCTTTATTCCTGCGACGAAGTGATTTGGTTGATCTATGCGTTCAAAGAAGATAATATGTTTGCAGCCTATATAAAATCATTTAAAAGGCCTGTCAGAATAAAATTATCATTAAAGTTCACCTCCAGAAAAATGCTGTTCTTCTTGGCAATTTGTTAACTTCATTATTAACAAGGAGCGTAAGTGCCTGTCAAACCTAAAAGATTTTCTCTTGAACAAGATTGTAATAACATAGTCAGAAATCACAATTGGGGTTGCCTTGTTTGATGCTCTTATTCATCTGTTCAAATGCATGTTTGACAAAGCCCAGAAAGAAGTAAAGTAATTCTTTGTTTCCAAACATATTTAGATAATTTACCTTTTTCTTCTTAGGTTACTATCAAAAATAAAAAACTTACTTATTTCTCACTTCAAATAATAAAAAACACTGTTCATTTCAAGAATTACTTATTAAATAAATTTTAAGCGTAGCCAAACATGCTCTAGAGGTTCAGGTTAACAACTTCACTATCTAGAGATTTTCTTAAATTCAGCTGCTAATTGTCACCATGGACATGTAGTCTATGCCTCTTGTGATCTAATTGTGCTGCCATTGGCTGTCTATCAGTGTCTTTTGGGTAATGGCTTGGCACAATTGAGGTTTCACCCATTTGCTTGCATAGTTATTCGATATGGAAAATGTTCTTTTTCATCTCACCATCAAAGCGACATTTTTATCTTTTTCTGTGAAACTTTTCTAGGTTTTGTCCAATTATATGCTATTGCTTGGGATAAGAACATCAAATAAGAATATGATCTTATTCATCTCATAGTTGTTGAAATACCAGTGAATGATTATACCTTAAGTGAAAAATAAAAGAAACTGTTTGTGTTTGTGCCTACCCGTGCATGAGGGGTATCCAAGATACACACAGAGACAAACGGAGAGAGATTTGAATACAGGACTCACTGGGTGTCATAACACGAATTCACTGGGTCCTATTGTAACTGTAAGAGATCCAGTGACTGGTTTGATACAGTCGTAAAAAACTAATTTTATCTACAATTACAGTCATTGAAAGGAGGGGATCCTTCAGGTTGGAAACTACAAATCAATAATGGGTTCTCCAACATTGAGATTACGCTCCAAATTCCATGGTAGATTAAAGAGCTTAGCTGTAATGAATTTGAAGATCTTATTCACGTTAACGTTGTAGGTTGCGCTCGAAAAGAACACTATTGCGTTCAGTGCCTTTGCATACGCTCTTGTCTGTTTTTATACTTACAACTCGTGTTAGTATTTTATAATTCGAATCTTGAGAGCTTTTGGTAGTCGGAGTAGAATTAGCTGATACAAAAGAGACAGTTGACTCTTTGTGAAGGAATCTGTGTTGATTTCATGAAAAAGTTTCCAATTTCTATATGAACATATGAGTGCTATTTTTCATTTTTACCTGACTTGTTATTGTCCACTGCAAATCTATTGGTAATTGGACGAAATCATCGAACTTGGTCCCTGTTATTACTGGAATGGCTATCTGCAATATGATCATAGAAGACATCATACAAGAACACATTGTAGGCAAAGAAACAAATTGATTATAATTAAATTTGTTTTACCTGATTCCATTTCTTGGCTTGTTGAAACCATGGAATTACACTGCAATCACGGAAAAGTCCATTTTTGTTACTATATAATTAGAAATAAATTCTAAATCCCTTTCTTTGTTGATAATTGAGATATTGCCTATTCAAGGTGCACCGACTTGTGAGATCGAACATGAATAACATTGCTACTGAATCCTTACAGTTACAGGCTGCTGGAATGTTGTTATTGCCTGTATTGTTAAATTTTCAATCAAATATTGGTACCCAAATGAGATTTTTTTGTCTCTTGATATTTGCATATACAAGAAACTTTGTGAGTTCTTGTTGTATACCTCCCACTTCCCAGATAATATGAGGAATATATGCCCCTTTAACACACAATGTTTTGTCCACCACTTTTGCTTCCAAATTCTTCAAGCCCGTTTTCTCTCCCGCTCGAAAAGAACACTATTGCGTTCAGTGCCTTTGCATACGCTCTTGTCTGTTTTTATACTTACAACTCGTGTTAGTATTTTATAATTCGAATCTTGAGAGCTTTTGGTAGTCGGAGTAGAATTAGCTGATACAAAAGAGACAGTTGACTCTTTGTGAAGGAATCTGTGTTGATTTCATGAAAAAGTTTCCAATTTCTATATGAACATATGAGTGCTATTTTTCATTTTTACCTGACTTGTTATTGTCCACTGCAAATCTATTGGTAATTGGACGAAATCATCGAACTTGGTCCCTGTTATTACTGGAATGGCTATCTGCAATATGATCATAGAAGACATCATACAAGAACACATTGTAGGCAAAGAAACAAATTGATTATAATTAAATTTGTTTTACCTGATTCCATTTCTTGGCTTGTTGAAACCATGGAATTACACTGCAATCACGGAAAAGTCCATTTTTGTTACTATATAATTAGAAATAAATTCTAAATCCCTTTCTTTGTTGATAATTGAGATATTGCCTATTCAAGGTGCACCGACTTGTGAGATCGAACATGAATAACATTGCTACTGAATCCTTACAGTTACAGGCTGCTGGAATGTTGTTATTGCCTGTATTGTTAAATTTTCAATCAAATATTGGTACCCAAATGAGATTTTTTTGTCTCTTGATATTTGCATATACAAGAAACTTTGTGAGTTCTTGTTGTATACCTCCCACTTCCCAGATAATATGAGGAATATATGCCCCTTTAACACACAATGTTTTGTCCACCACTTTTGCTTCCAAATTCTTCAAGCCCGTTTTCTCTCCCGGAATACTTGGTCTACTCTCCTTTTTTTTTTTTTTTGGTAAATATAAATTTCTATATATTAAAAATCATATTTAAATACTTCAGGCATACCCAAGCTAAACAAGAACAAAAGATGTATTAACGATAAGATCTAAAGACCTAATGCTAGAGACTTAAAATGAATCAAAACGTGAGGATACAATAAAAACATGACTTTGTATATATGTGTTTTGATCCGTCTCATTATGTATCAATGTGTGGTCTAATACTTGGTCTACTCAAACAAATGAAACCAAGTTAACCAACATTAGAAATATTCTCACATGTTTGGAATGTTAGATTGGACACGATAGAAGAACTAACCAAAAAACTTGTCTTGCTAATTTGACCATCACCCAAGAGACTGATTTTCAAAACAACTAGATCCGAAGAATCGTTGTCATGATTGCCGCAACGGCGTAGTGGTGAGGCCATGTAGGTGGAGGACAAGCCAGCCCTATCCACAAGAGGCAACGTAGAGGAAGAGATGGTAACAATGGTTGGCAATTGTCTATAACGAACGGATGACCTTCGGATCCAGCAAGCAAGGAATCGTTTCCAAAGCGAGTTGAGATACCACCCGAGAATCAAGACCGAGAGAGGATTCTTTTCTTGATATTGAAGTGAAGCATTTTTCGGCAAAGCTGAGTCATTTTCACGTTATGTTCTAGAGAGATGGCCTCAGAGGCAACTTTGTTTGGTCATAGCTTTGCCTTGTCTTCTACCTCGTCATGTGATGTCGCATATTTTCTTCCTAATTGTGAGGTACATTCTTCTTTATCATTGAAAATTCAGCAAAATTTTAATGGCTATTTTGGTGGGAGTAATGGTGCCCTTGTCGTTGTGGACATGAGTTGACCGATATATTTTGGGAACCCCACAGTAACTTCATTCTCCAGAATTTGACATATAAAGACGTATCGGAACGAACTAGTCTAGAAAAAAATTGCTACGTCCAGTGCATGTTATTCTAAGCATATATTTTTAAAATAAATAATACAAGTAAGATACTTAATTTTTATTTTATTATCATACAATTTAAGTAATTTTTGGCTTAGCCAAATATGCTACTAGTTTAATGTGGAATTTAGGTGATGCCAAATCACATTTTATGCATTACGAATAGGGTCATGGTAGAAACATGTTAAAAACTTAGATGTGAATGCGATGGAAACACTAGTGTGGATGTAGATTTTGTAATGAATCTTGAGAGGAAAAAGTGGATCACGCATATACGTGTTCAACAGCACAAATCTTTGGTGATTTAGGGAAAATGATTGAAATGAACCTCGCCTACACCCCATATTTATGGTACATCTATACTCAATTGTAAGTGAAACTAGGGGTGATAAATAAGTTGAGCCGCTTGTCGGCTTGTAGGCTCGCCAGGCTCGTCGAGCTCGTTTGGAGAGAAGCTATAGATCTAATTAGAGCTCATTTTTTTAACAACCTGGGCTCATTTGAGTTTGTGGTTACGAGCTCACTAGCTGGTTCGTTTGTGCTCATGGGCAATTTAGCTCATGAGGTCCACGAGTCAAAGGGTTAAGTCAATCCTAATATTTGGACACAAGCCAAGCACGATTCGTCCATAGTACCAGGCCAGGCCGAGTTCGGGTGTGCTCGATCCATTGTCACCTGTAAATGCAACCAATTAGTCTAGTTAGTTGTTCAATAGAAAATTGCTGTTTGTACAATATTTGTTTGACAGCTTTTTTCACGATTGTCTTTCAAAGGAGAGGTCCACGATTATTGTAATCGTGGATCACACCCACTTACATGTGTGTATGCTGTGAAAAAAATTGTGAATAATTGATGTACTTATAATATCTTTCTTGTTCAATAATAGAGTAGGAGTCAAATTTTTTGACTTTTGACATTCGAATTTTATGTCATAAATTTTTTTCGAGGACGTAACATTTTTTAAGATTATAATTCTAATGTCATGTGTCCAGCATTTGTCATGTAGGCATCAGTAAATAACATTCTAATATGAATGTGCAGTCCATTGCTTACAGAAAAAGTATCCATTCTATTCATTTATTCGTTCCTAAATTAGTGAATTTATAAAGAACATATGAGTAACTAACTGCTTTTACTTCACAACTTTTAGTAGGTTAAATGTTTGTTGGTGCATCTTTAATTAATTGATTAGTCAATAGGATACAGTAAGTGTTTAGTTGGTTGTGTGTATGCATTAAACAATAATTACTTAAATTAGTATTATCATTGAAAAAGCACTAGACATTCATAAATTCATAAATAATGACTTACCATTTAATTACAAGTTGTACATACATCCTCAGAAACTGAGAATGTAATGCTACATAATGGGACCATTACTACTAACTAGCATATAGCTAAGGAAAAACAAGAAAAATCTTTCTCATGGTGGCGAGTCATATTGTCCATCAGATACTTGACTCAGTTGACTCTTCAAATCACTATTCTTCCTTCTAAGAATCTCCTTAATTTCAACTTCTTTCTTATCGACAAAATCAATCAGGTCCTTGAAGCTCTTGGTGGCAAGGATGCGTCTACTAGGACGTGTTGTTGCAGGTTCAGCTTCCTCGATGTCTTGTTGCTCCATGTCTCCACTATATCTATTGTACTGCCCATAAACCCTGCAGAAAAAGACTATCAATGCAATGAAGCAGGAAATTCCACATATAAGAAACAGGCCCCAGAAGCTCTCGAGGGAAAGCCGGCTCTCGCCTACTTGCTTGGCTTGCACAGAGCATTCATTTTGCGTCAGCCATTTATCATGGATTCTCTGAAGCTCTCCATTTTCTGAAAGTTGAAGGATCGCAGTTGACAGATCAATCACCAATGGAGAATCCTGTTGAAATGCCTGCATGATGAATTCCATAACTAGTTTTAGATAACATCTCACTGCAAGGTGAATGTACAAACTGCAAACTACATGGCTAAGCTTTAAAGTAACCCTTTAAGTTCTTTTTCTTGTTTAATATTGTCGAGCACTGTCTAATATACCTTCCCACACAAGCCAAGGAAAATAGTAACTATAAAATACTTACAAATCCCCATCCTTTTTTAGTAAACTCTTGTCCCACAATACTGAATATGCACTTCGTGTTGGCCAAGAATAGCTCAATATAAGGAAGCTCATCAACAATGGCAGCAACCCCACCACGATTTGGACCTAGCTGAAGGGCATTAACGTAGTCATCTTGGGTTTTCAATATTCGAAGCCTCGACTCTGCAATGTTCAACTCATCGATAAGATAATTATATGCAAACGATCCATCTTGGATCCCTATTGGATCATAACTGGTTATCAGACTGTCAATCCCTTGAATTCGTGAAGTCAACTGCTGCACTGTGAGAATTGATGTCAAACTAGCTGTATAGCTTGAATTGATAATTAACACCACAAAAAGCCACAATATCAACACCAAACGTCCCAGAGTGCTTATGGTGTTTTCTTCTGCATGAAATCCAATTCAATTGGAGTGTTAGGAATCTCAAGCAGGATTTTGCTGTCACTTAGCAAAATAGATTGATAGAATGTACTTACTATGTGAAAAAAACATTGTTGAGAAACTAAACCTGAAAGATTGAGTTACAAGTTAGTATACACCCTTCAAAATCAAATTCAAGTCAAGTCGAAATTCATTGGGTTCAAATCCAAATCATCTCACAAAGAAGAAACTCTAGAATAGATTCACTAGTAACTGTGCATAGCTCTTTCTTAGGATACAGGGCAAGGGACAACTTCTACATACAACTTAGTACCTAGATGTTAGTCTTGGGTCTTGACAAGTCTAGAGACACTAACCAAAAGACGAGATACTAACCAAAAGACTGTTATGAGCTGTTGCCGTGGAGGACCTCGAAATTCAGGATTCGTTCGGTGCTCAAGAATCCAAACGACAGATCCCACGAAAAGAAAAAATAACCCAGTTAGGCACCACATTTGCCAAGAAAATGGCTTGAGGAATGCCCATGGACTGGATTTAATCTCTTTGACAGGAACCACTACAACAAGCCCTGATTCCATGTAAGGCTGCGTAAAGTCCACAATTCTTGTCCTATTTGTTGTAATAGTAACATCCCCAACAACTGCATCATATTTCTGTTAAAACAAAGCAAGTAAAATAAGTTACAGTCAAAGGTAAAAACATTATAGAAACTTCTGACTCTCCACCGCACAAGTATTAAGAGGAGCTATTTAGATATTGCAGAGAGCAGCTTTGCAAATGAAGTGGATACCACAAAGAGCACACACAGACGTGAGAAGAAACATCTGAGTCTGTGCAACAGATTAAATTTGTGGAAACATAGAGTAAGTACTCCTGCATAAAAGGCAGACAAATTTATTAGATTTCATAACCTAAGTCTGATATAGTTTAATAGTTCGTCATTTTACTCGAGCAATATGAGGAGTGAATTTCCGCTGTAACATTCCTTTAAAGAGCAAAAACAAAAATTGTACGTGAGCTGAAATAGTTCCAAAGAAAGAAATTATAATCTTACAACAGAACATGTAGTCATGTTAACATTATGACTACAGTCTAGGCCAATGAATTAAGCAAAATGGTAGGCAAGATTGAATAGAATTCCTTCCTAAATTCAATGCAGTCTTATTCTTATTTTGAGTATTCAATAATGGCATGTTCGGCACAAAATACTGAAATGGATGGAAAGTACAGAGGACAAGATATTAGCTTTTTTTCTTCTTTTAATACTTCCCTGTGCTGGACAATCCTCTTTACCAAACAAGACATTAGCACTTTTCATTTCTTGTCATCACTCATTTACAAATTTCTTTCATTTCCCAAGTTATATTAGGAACTTACTTTTTGTACTGCATAAAATTAGGAAGATAGTACTTACATTTTGAGCAACGCCTTCCACAAGGCTGTTATATGAAGGGTTTCTTCTACCATCACCATACAAGATGTATTGATGAGGAACAGGATAAGGCAACAATTGTATGGCTGCTTCAAAAACGTCAATGCAATATCCTTTGGCCCCTAATGGTCCTTCGTCTTTAGTCACAAATTCTGGATAAGTAACCTGATGAGGTACTGCAATTCGCAAAGGCCTCCCATTATCGGGAAACACCCATCCACGAGGCTTTGTTGTAGTTCCTCCTGGCCATATTACATCGTAAAGATGTTGATTACTCGTGGAAGTGTTGGGGAGACTTGTATATAAAATTTCTGGAGCATCAATCGAGAAACCTGAGTAATTTGACCAATAACCAAGGTTGCGTAACCCAGTTCCCGCAATGTTAATGACGTCGAATGCTGGATGAATCAAATTATTATCTGTATCAAACTTAATTTGTCCACTTACACCTGTGAAATCCATTGCAGTAAGTATCTGAAGTAACTCCGAGCCTTGATCGAAAATTCGAAGTCCTGTTAGATTCAGGGAACTTCCATTGGTATCTTGCAATTTGGGGTCATCAGAAAAACTCACAACTCCACCCTCGTTGAAGAATATATCAAGAGCTCGAGCAAGTAACCACACAGAATCATATGCGTACTGAGCGTAAGAATTAAAGTTCAGGGTTTCCTTATTCTTCAAATTTTTCCACCAAGAAGTAAAATTTGTTTTCAGATCAGAATCTGGGGTATGACGGCGGAGTGCAATAACCCCTTGTATAAAATCCATTCTATTGGGACTAGTGGATACTAAAGGATCTAGAAGAGAAGGAAGCCAATCAGTAGCAATCCAAACATGACCTGTGTTCATCATTCCGAGACTCTTAGCTGATGAAAAAATTGTAAGACCAGAGTCGGGATTTACATGTACCACAAAAACACGAGATTCCATCAAGTTTACTTCAACCAATACGCTGTAAATGTCAGTTATTGAAGCTCCAGGAGGCAATGCAGCTTTGTAAGAAATCTTAGCACGGTTCTTATTAAGTGCATCATCCAAAACCGAAATCCCATTTCTACCATAATCATCGTCAACAAAGATGGCAACTACTTCTCTCCATCCAAAATGCTGCACCAAATCAGCAATTGCATACATCTGGAAATGATCACTTACCGTAGTACGGAGGAAGTATGGGTACTGCAGAGAAGAAAGAGTTGGATCTGTAGCCCCGAATGACAAAAGTGGCACCTGAAGTTCATTCACGACATGTGAAATAACATGGGCTATTCCAGAGGACTGTGGGCCAATTGCAGCAACCACTCCTTTACCCATCAACTGCATAGCTACACAAGCAAGGATCCTCTGTCAAGCTTTTCTCATTTTTCATTATCAAAATATTACCAGGCAAGAAAGAGTGTGCTGAACTTGTAATGCATTTTTAACTTCACAACAAACAAAACCAACATCATTTCTACATATATGAGTAACAAATAAATAGATATCTTCCCACTAGAACTGAAGTTCTTTTGTAACATTAAAACTAAGCAGCTCGAAGATGTGACAGACAGGCAAAGTAGAACATTGTAGTTGTCTTCGTCTTTCACGTATTCCTGTTTTGGTTCATCTAAAGCATAATAGAAACACCTGCTATCATGCATCAACTTGAATAAAAATTGGGAAGTCATAAGAATTCCTGGGAGTTTATCTTTCCAATAATGGTCCATGAAGTAGAAGAACGTTCTACATAAAAAACAAACATACTATTTCCCTTTACCATTATGCTAGCAAAAAGAGGTAAAATTTCTTCTTCATAAAAATATGTGGAGAGCAGAGTGGAGACAAAATAATTCATGTCGACTAGAACTTCAGCAATTGGACCATGGATTTGCTGTGCTGATGAATTTCATGTGTTCAATCAATGCCTTAGGTGTTGATTCATGTCTTGCAGTATGAGAGGTTAGTTTTTATACTATCAACAAGACTCTCATCATGAATAGACATAATGATAATCAAGAAATTGCCTCCAAAACTAATTAAAGTAAGGAGTAGACACAACTTGAGGAAGATTTCTCTTGTGAACCTAAGCTATACAAGATAGTGAAAGATATCATTTAAAATATTGAACTGTTCGAGGGTTGTTCACCTGGTGTCGTTACTCGTTAAAAGACAAAAAAGTTATACTAACTAGATATATTACCTTCAATGGTTCCAAGAAATCCATTGCAATCAGTATCCTGCAGAATGAGGTTAATCTTTGTGCCATTAAGAATGGTAGAATCAGAATTGACATATTCAATTGCCCCGAGAAGAGCTGGCTTTGCTGATCGTCCAATAGTCGAATTGAATGTGAACAAAGCTCCAATATTCACCACCCTTGGTGTAGAAGGAGCACTATCATTTTTAGTCATGCCAATGGCTTCCGTAGACACCCATACACAAAAATTCAACAACAGCAATGCTCTCCTCACATGTACATGGAACTCCATTTCCAATAAAGCCAGAAAACTATTGATTGATTCTTCAAATCAACTCACCATCATATCAAGAAATTAAGCACCCGATACCTTTACATGCCTAGTCAAAGTATAATCCCAATCTCCAATCAAGAGAGGTAGGTTCATCACTATTCAATTACAAAAGTACAATAATCAACATGAATTATACATAAAATCAGCTTCCAGCCTTAGTCACTAAATACCAACATGGCCAAAGCAATGGTAACACAATTTCCTGAACAGAAACAATAAGTAACTTTTTTTTTCCCCCTGTTCTGAACTTCTAAGTTTAGTAAAAATTTTGGTTTAGTACCAAATCATGCACCAGCACAAATGAGCAAAATTTCTAATAAACTGGAATAAAAACTTGTATATTAAGTTTAAGGAAACATATTTACTTATATTAATGCATACGTGGATAAATAAATGAACTGTGCAAAGAATCTAAATATAATCAGCAACTGCATATGATTGCTGGGTGGCCATATATATTACCAGAAGAGCATTCATCAATACAGAGCTCAAAAGCCCACCAGTAAGATTCTAAAATTGAGGTTTGCAGCTAAATATGCTTAAGAGTATGCAGAAGAATATTACTATTATTCAAAGGAATCAAAGCATAACGTGTTATATATCTAATATTTCAAATTGACTGTATATTTATAAATATAATGTTCAAACAAAAAATGCTGAAGCAATGAACACTAAAATCTTAAAAATGGCATCGAGCAGGGTCCAGTTAAATGCTGGGTACTTGTTCTTGTTTTTATTCCCAACTCGAATCCTTGGGATGCCCGGTAGATGGTTATCTTCGCCCTATAAAATCAAAATTCAGATTGAGAACATCTCTAAAAGACAATCTAAATGTAAATTGTTCCTTCTTTTTTTTTTTCATTTTTTTTTTTGAAGGAGCTGGTGCTTAAAAATAAGTTAAAAAAGAAAGATAGTCAAATTAATATCCTATTTTTTAAATTATTCAAACCTCACTTGATTGATAACCAATATTTGAAAATTCTCTACATATATATTTTCAATTCCATATTTACAAGATAAATATGATTGTTGATTGGCAATTAATATATAAAAAAATTATGTCAAATTAAAATATAAAAAAGAAACAAATATTTCTGGAGAAAAACAAAATAAAAAGTCAAAATAGACTGCGTTATTATATTACATAGAAATTTTAAGTTTCTAAATTTAAATTTGATATTTATAATTCATCAAATGTTCTTTTATAAATAAATTAATCTTTTTAATATATAATCTCACATATGTAAAACTGGCTGACGAGCATGTTTGGACAGTGCTCGCCACGGCCGCCTACACAGGTTTTAGACTGGGGGTTATTTAAGATCAGGTGGTTGCATCCTGCCCCTGTTTGGTACAACTTCTTTATTTTTTTTAAAATTTATTTTTAATCACAAATACTTTCGATAAAATAATTTTACATGTAGATCCTTATTTTTTTATTTTTTTATTTTTTTACTACTCATTCTTAGAAAAAAATATTTATTTTTCGCTAAATCTATTCTCAAAATCTATGTTAAACATTTTACATTCATTTTTTATGTTGTAAATGTAACAAAGGTCTTCCATATTTGTTCATTGTCATATTTTATGTTCCTAACTTTTCTTTATTGCATTTTTATTCTCAACATTGTATTGCCTTCAAATAATATGTTAGGAGAGCATAAAAAAAAAAAAAAAACCTTATTTGCCCCATAATATTTTTAAATAGTAAAAAAGTTTATAGAAGTCGAGAAAATATTTGTCCCTTCATGTCAAAGCACACCAATAGAATATTTGGATAAAAATTATTATTATGTGCAAGATGCGTAGTTAATTGAAGGTTAAGGATAAAATATGACCCAAAAAACAAAAAAAAGTTGGAGTCACAAGTGTGTCAAAAAATAAAGGTAGAAACATTCATCGCAATTAAAATGTAATACAATAAATAAAAAATGTAGTGCGAATATTATCATCCCTTATTAAAAGGGGTTGCCTAAGCGCTTTGTTGAATTTTACTCTTAAGTACCATGCAAAATAGTAGCTTATTTGAGAACACTAATTTTTGAATTCAAGTGTTCCTGTAAGCTTTAAATAAAATAAATTGTTCATTTGAGTTTAATGAGCTTATGATATCATATTAGGCCTTCGTTTGAATTTTCTTTTAGTTGCTAAAAATTATAAGTTGGTAAACACGAGTGACTGGTAAATGGGTGGTAATTATGGTTCCTATGAAATTGTGTGATTAATATTAATACTTTACTCTGAGAAATAACTTTTTAGTAATTAAAAAGAAGTCCAAACAAATGCTAAATTTGGAGTTCCATTTTAAAAATTCAAACTTATAAAAAGAAATAACTCAATCTCTATTTTAAATTTTACCCTTAACAGGTTGAAAAGTGTTGGAATATTAGGGTAATATGAGGATTAAAAATGTGTGAATTGGAAACGTCTCCAATAGATACGTCGATTGGACACGACCCTTCAAATGCAAATAGTGCATATCAAAGAGTTGTTTCAAATGAGTGTAACATTTTGAAATGGTGTGTCTAATGGCTGGAATTAGTTTGCCATAAGATATGACCGACCAAACACGTACAAATCTATAAATATGACCTTCCTTGTTCATTTTTCTTCACTTCAGATCAATTTCATATAATTGATTTTTAATTCTTTCCTTCTCCAATTTATGTCAAAGTAATTTTCAAATTATTTCTTAGTTTCATGGTTGATATCTTCTGCTCTAGAAGAGTACAGTCATGTATTGATTCGTCTGGCGAAATTAATATTGTGCTTTATTAATTTTGGAAGAAATATTGTATTTTGGGAGATGAACGTCCATTTGATCATGTTAGCACCTGTGTAGGGTGTGAAATCAATCTTAAAGAGATTTACATTCGCATACCTCGCTTCATTTCATCTCCTACGTACCATGGTTGTGGTAAGTTGTTACTCTATCATATTTGCGTACTCATATTTTTTATTAGCGGAATATAAATTATGCATCAAATTATTCAACAAAAAGCAATAGTGTAATACCCCGAACTTCACGTTCTACATTTGGCCAATATGATTCATGCATTACATGCTAATTACATTGTCATTTGTATCAATTTCCTGATTGCCTTCTCTTAAAACGATGCATTTGATCATCAAGGCTTTAAAATCTTTACATGGTGATAACCTTCGACTCTTCGATTTAGGTGGTGAATTTTATATTGAGCTATGATAGAAAGTTAGATTAACTAAATGTTGGAGATTGGCTTGGTAAGTAATGTAATATTTGAAAGGCCGAAAATTTGTATCAACGAAGGTTCAAGCTTTCCATTCGGCTAATCGAGGTCACCTTAAACCCTAGATAGGTAATTCACATATTTGGGACATGAGGGATGAAGTGACATTATCACAACGTAATATATATGTCTTATATGACATTATAAATATTAAGGTGCGAATTGTTGAAATCGGTTGAGAATCGGGTAAGAAATTAAATGAACGGTTGAGGAATTAGTTCTATGAAATACTTTGGGATCTTAGGACAAGCGAAATGGATTGCAAACATGTCAAAATAAGCCGAGGATACTTGGTTTGTGCCTGCAAAGATAGATATAAAATCAGATTTTGCTACAAGTGACCACCTCATGATTGAACACCTCGCGCTTGGGATGTTTGTCATTTTAGCACTCAATTCCTTCAACCTTAAGCCTCCAACATGTCCTATAAGTCCTTAGAACTTTACACAAGATATTTATAACTCTTATAAGTCACATATGGCTCCATATGGTGCAAGGGAGAAGTCAAAGTTGGCTGCAAGAAGCCACCTCCTACTTGGACAGCTCATGCTAGGGGATTTTCACTTTAATATATAATTGCTTCAACCCTAAGGCATAAATTTCGTGTCTAATCCCTAAGGACTTAATATAGGATGAATATATATCTTAAATATCATAAATGGACACAAAAATAATGGTAGAAAAGTCAAGTATTGCAGCCAAGATGACAGCTCCAGCTTAGTGACTCACCTTGATTGCTTGAGGTGGTTGCAGCCTATGACATTCTTAATCCTTAAGTAATATGCACGACTTCAACTATTTAAAGACCACTCATTTACCTCCTAGATAATATATTAGCTCCCTGAACTCGTCCCTAAGTGATTCCAAGTGAAAAGAGGGTGAAACAGCCAAAGAGAATTAGAAGCAAGAAGCTGGAATTTCTGAACAGCTTTGTTACTCCACAGTTTTGAGGTTTGTTTCTATTATTTCTTAAGGGGTTTATGATTTCTTGAACATCTGAAGTTGTTTGTGATTAATTTGGAGTGTTGTTAATGATGTTATGATGCCTAAATAGGGGTAATTAATGGCAAGAATTTGAAAGAAATTAATCTGGACAGAGATGAGGAATTGCTGGATTGAGTGATTTATACCTTGATTTTGGGATGATACTTAGTGTTTAACTTATATATATCAATATGAACGTTTTTATATGTAAGTAGGGAGTGTCAGATTCTGTCCATTTGGGTATTTAATGTGATTTCAACATTTAGATGTCCCCTAATGAACTCTTGGGCCTAGAAAATATATCCTAAGGAATACTAGGTTGTTGAAAACAATTGGATGACGTTGACGTTCATAATTGGACTCGAGAGATAGCGAGACTTATTGGATTAGTTTGTAATGCCATCGGTAACTTGAAATGATGATTCCGTCTAAATTATTTTGGTGAGAATGGACGTATTTTGGGATTTTGTGCGTTAAGGTTATTAAATTGAGGATTCTCTTTAATATTAAATGGTAATACAGGTGATTTTTTGACTTCGAGTCAAAAAGGATATTGATCTAATCTTCATAGGAACTTGCACACACAAAGATGAAAGGTAAGTGAAAATCCATTTGCAACTACAATGCAAGAACCTAGTATATGTGACATAGTAATGTTGAAATATCTACATAACTTTGATAAGAGGCTTATAACACATAATATGGTGGTTACTATCATTGAGTATGAGATTGCGTAACCTATTGACATCGATTTTCATTTATGAGCATTTTCATATGCATGCACGACATGTAACATGATTGAAAATACTGCATGCAAAATATGATTTCAAAGTGAGTTTCATTATAAATGTTTTATTGACCACTACTAGGGCACCGAGGCATGTGAGGCATGCTTATGTGATATGTTTAGCATTGCGGGTGTTACTTCCTGGGTGATTGCAAAGGTAGATAGGGGATGGGCCTTTAGTGATCACGGGAGGGCGGACCACTCGACTATGCCCTTGTTATGATTATTGGCGCTGCCAGGTGGGAGACTTCTTGGGTGATCATAGGGGCAGTCAGGGGATGGGCCTTTAGTGGTCACGAAAGGATGGTCCACTTGTCGGTGTCGATTTCATACTGGCCATTTGATTATTGATATTGATATTATGCAGAGTTCTATCCGGTGCATAGTAGGTGGGTAAAGGGCCCAATGAAATGAAAGATTTCAAGTGAAATGATTTCTAGTCGACTTTGACGAACATTGAAATATGATATTTTTATCGTGATATTTAAAGTAAATGGTATGGTGTCATATGTTGTTATTACTCATGTTCAGGGCATGCATGATTTTGCATACTAAGCATTAGCTTATGTAGTTCTTGCATTGTAGGTGAACATGGAACTACATAGAGAGCATGGCTAGCTGTGGAGCTCCTACAGGATTCCAGAGTTCGATGTACATGGATGACGACCTGTAGGGTTATTTTGTAGGCTGCCATCTGTAGGGTTATATTTTGGAATCCTATATAGTGTACTTTTGAAATGGCCTATAGACATGTTTATAAGCTCAGAATATATATGTTGGATTATGGCGATATGATTTTGGGTTTCG